TCTATCCCTACAGTTGTACTGTCTTTAATGATGTTGATGGCGTCTTCGATGTATAGATTAAAAAGTAGCGGTGACAGTGTGCATCCCTGCCTGACTCCCTTCCTAATATTTACTTCTCTACGTTGCATCCCCAGCTCTATAACTGCCTGTTGCTCTTTATACAAACTAAGTATCACTCTTAATAATATGTTAATAAATTTTTTTTTTGATAGGTTGTTTATTTTGTCAATAGCGGTTCAGAGGCAAACGAATTGGCAGTTTTGTTGGCCAGAATTTTTACCAACAATTACGAAGTAATATCGTTACGAAATGGTTACCATGGAACGGGCAATTTAACAATGAACGTATCTGCTCAATCCGATTCTAAGTATCGGATACTTCAGGCCATAAGGACGCATCATGTAAGAATGTTTAACGTTGATGAAGATTTTTGAATTAGCTGTATACATTATAAGCAGTAATAGATTATTAAAACTGTCGAAACTGTCAGACGCGAATCGCGATTTCGAAGTCGCTGGATCTCATTACCACGCCGTACGCAGTTCCGACAGATCATTCATTAAAATCCTAGATTAAAAAATTTTGAGCGAGACTAATACCAAGACCGAACAAGCGAGACCAAGACAAAGACCAGACTGTCCCAGTCTTAGTCTTGATCTTGTTTTGCTAATCACTATTACGATTGATTTTAAACAGTTTGATAAAGAGCCGTTTTCCGTAAGGATCAAGCAGAGTCCAATTAAGAACTATTAAGACTTATATTGTATTTAACCATTTTCCAGTATAAGAGTTTTTACATTTCTAATTTTCTTCTAACGCTGTCAATTGTTAAACAATTAAAATGAGAAACATAAACTTTTGTGAGAGACATCAATTTTTATATTTAAACTAATGTAGAAAAAACGTTTATGAACAATAGGAAGTTAAAAACAAAAGTGGGTATTTGTCTAATATGTTGATTAAATGGAATCTCCCCCTTTTGTACGAACTTACTGTAAATATCAAAAAACGCAGTTCCTTTTCAGTTAATGACTTTTTCTTTTTCAAATCTTCTAAACCAAGTCTTTACCTTGATACGTTTTTTTACAAAACCAAGACAATGATCAATCGCTTTAGTAACAGTTAAAATAAATTTCCCAAGAATTTAATTTAATCGATTACAGGTTATAAATCCCGACGTTTATAAAGGGTTGTGGGGTGGTTCCAAATGTAGGGATAGCCCCGTACAAGCCAACAGAATGTGCTCCTGCAGAGGGTCAGAATGTGAAGCAAAAGATAATTACGTAAAACAGTTTGAAGAATTATTCGACTACAGTTTGCCGAAGAAAGGGGCTGCAGCATTCATTGCAGAACCGATTCAAGGCGTTGGAGGTATCGTACAGTATCCTAAGGGATACCTAAAGGAAGTTGTGGATGTAGTTAGGAAACATGGCGGACTGTTTATTTCAGATGAGGTACGAGAATTTTTTTTTCATGTATATAGTAATAACTAATTCTGTTTTTTTATTATTATTTTTATATTCATTTTTACGTTTATATAGTGCTCGTTTAGTTTCCTCTATGCATGCTACCGGTCAGGAGTTATGAGAGAACCCATATACGATACCAGTTTGGCCTAATTTTTCGATTACATCTTCAGTTTGGTCTAATTTTTCGATTACATCTTTGCCTATCCCTCGGGAACAGTATGTCTTTTCTGGTAAAACAGTACCTCATGTTATTTTCTGTTCCCCCTGACAATGTGTGTACAAAATTTTCTGATTGGTTTGGTGTGGTAGCAGCAACTAATTTTCCTCATTAATTTGAGATTTCCAATTATGAAAAACTTACGTGCAAAAATAAGAAAACTTTTTAAAGTTTTTTTTAGGTAGAGTAAAATGGTGAATAAAAGTTACCCCATCCCCTGGGATTTTTCTTGACTCATCTCATACTTGAAGTCCTAAATACGGTTTTTGTTGAATTGTTCAATTCCGATCAGTCGCTATCAAATTCGCAGAGGTTATTTATTTATAAGCAGTTTCCCCCCCCCAATCCCACATTTTTTGGTATAAGTTTTTCATAATTGGGCAATTTTAAACTATTTCCAAGAAAGAAAATCTGAGTTTTCGGAAAAGTAATTTAGTTGTTCTTTAGGTTATTTCATTAGATAGTTTTGAATGTTAGTGTCTATAGATTTGCTAGTAGATGATGACTTTTCCTACATTTTACTGAATTTTAGGAGCATGATATTTACGTATTATTTAAAGAAGGTATTGTAATGTTCGTGGGTTTAACAATTTAAACTTTTAAGAAGAGAAGTATTTATTTACACTAATTATTATTGAACTTAAAAACACTATTAAATTATTACTAAACTTAGGTAATTATTCTATTTATTTACACTACTGTTACTATTCACTGTTCTATTTATTTCACTTCTATCACTGTCAATTTATTTCTTGATTCACTTCTGCAACGGTCAATTTATTTCTACT